AGGGGCAAACCCCGTGGTTTTATAGGGGCGACGGACGCGAGAAGGGCATCGGTCCACCTCGATCTCTGAGTCCGCCACGACGCATCGTCGTGTCACGTCGCGGGACACGCGCACGCGATCCCTATCCCTTCCCGCGAAAGTCGCGCTGAGCGGTTCGCCTTCCCTAGGCGGACCAGGACTCTCTTCCCACCAATGGAATACGGGCCACAAAGTTTTTTTTTCTCTCCGGCCCACCTAGGACCCCGGAGCCCAAGGGCCGTCGCAACGAGGGATGGGCCCGCAAAACGACCAGGACTCAAGGACGCAAGCATCGCCAGGGCCTCGATCTGCAGTCAAGCCCCAATCAGGCCAGCCCCGAATGAAATCCCCGCGAACAGGATACCACGATTCCCTTAAAAATATCCAGTTAACAAAAAAATCAAGTCTTACGGCCTTACCCACGGAGGGCCCGGTACTACCCCCAGGCGATTCTACTCAAATCACCCGGGGGCTACACACACCGGATGCGCTCGCGCGCACCCTCTCGCAGATTGACTTCGACGAAATCGAAACACCCCCCGGGCGATTCTACTCGAATCACCCGGGGGCTCGGGGGCTACACCCATTGGGTGCGCTCGCGCGCACCCTCTGGCAAACTAACTCCGACGAAATCGAAACACCCCCGGGCGATTCTGCCCGAACCACCCGGGGGCTCAGGGGCTACTATCGGGAACCTAATACCGGGGTACCCAAGGAGGTGGAACTAATAACCATCGAATGTTAAAAACTCCCGAACGGACAAGAGCACCGCTGCGCTTCTTGCCCGAACGACGAGAGTTTGGTTCCGCCTCGCCCGATGCCCGTCGGTCAGCTCCGCCTCCCCCGACGGCTGGGGGACGGCTCCGCCTCGCCCGAGGGCTGAGGGCTAGGCTCCGCCTCGCTCGACCCCCGAGGGCTAGGCTTCGCCTCGCCCGACCTCCGAAGGCTAGATTCCGCCTCGCCCGACGGACCTCGCCTCGCCTGATGTCCAAGGACTGGCTCCGTCTCGCCTGACAACCGCACCCCGCTCCCTCATGATGATAGGCATAGGGTAAGACAAGACATTCGGGTCAACCATGGCATCGAAGGACCATGTCCTACGCCCCTGCAGGAAAGTACCGTCAGGACATGACGGGACGGGCGCTTAGACCCTTCCAGGCGTAACAAAGCCTGAATAGTGTTGTAGGCGCGTGCTCTTCGCCCTACAGTGTTGTAGGCGCCGCCTTCAAACCACCAGGCGAAGAACACGACACGGACATACGACAATCACTACGTTCCAAGGAAAGACTCCCGTCCTCTATAATGGCAAAACGAGCAGTCACCACGACATCCGCTCCCCACGGGGTCGGAGTTCAACAACCCTACCCGACACGCCGCTCGTGGGGGCGGGATGGGACACACCCACTTGCTAAAAAGAGGCCAGGGCATGGCCTACGAAGATCAACGAGCACGCCACTTCTGACACTGTCTGCCATGTTATACAGGGCAGGCACAGGGAAAAAGAAAGACCCGGATCCTTCGAAGGACCTTCTATACCCTTGGTATTTTCCTCTTTCTCCCATCTGTAACCCCTGCTCCCCCTTGGTCTATAAAAGGGAGGGCAGGGCTCCTCACTAGAGGGACCGACTTTTGACACCGAACTCACATACAGACGAACTCATAGAGAGTTCAGTTCGACATCACATACACAGCCAAGCCGCCACCAGGCTCTTGGCCTCCTTTCGACCCTTCCATCAGAGATCTGGGACTAGTCCCTCTCTCGACCGTTTGTACCCCCTACTACGAACCGCTTTCAGTGCTAATAACACGAGCAGCAATAAACTGGACGTAGGGACATTCATCCCGAACCAGTATAAACCTTGTGTCCTTTAGCGCACCATCCGGGCCTAACGCGCATAATTATAAATTTACTAGCCGGTGCTTGTTCGAAACACCGACACTTAGTTTCACTCACATCAATGGCTATTAGTAGGCAAGCAAAGAAAGGTAGTGCCTCGGTCATATTTTGCAGATCAGAAACAGTGCATGAGGCGACATTGAAGATCTACGATTTTGGTAAACCAAATAGTAGATATCAAATGTCGACCAATGAACTGATTCTATAAGTGTACAAGTAAATAGTTGACATCATCGGCAAAAAATATGTATTGGCCTCAGCTTTTAACAATTTGCTGCTACATTCTCAAGTAAATCATAGGTGCCTGTACATTTATCAAATAACAGAAAAAACCAGCAAATCAATGAGAGCAGCAACCGAAGTCCGAAATAAGAGGTTGAACCAGAACATCATGAAGGCCATGAAAGCCATGTGAACGTCCATTCCCAGCCATCACTACAGTTACTTGACCATGTGTTGCTAGGGAATGGACGTCTCACACGGGTTCTATGACCACCATGAAAAACACCAAGACGACATAAAAAACAACATACAGGCACCTCATAAGTGTAAATGGTTTTGCATCAGCGGCTATGATCCCATTCCTCTCATTGCAGCAACAAGAACATGAAGAGGCATAGCCAATAAAGTTGCACAGAATACAACAGACGAAACAAATGTAGGAAACAAAAGAATAAACACATGTTAGTGGAGGCCACCACATGCAGGTGGCCTCAGCTTTGGTATTTGCTGCAACAATCTGAACTCAGTCATTGGTGGCTGCATTTCCAAAATAAAACACAGATCAAGTAAGATCCTTTAACAGATGTTCACCAACCAAATCATGAAGGCCATGAAAGCCATGTGCACTTCCATTCCCGGCCATCACTGCAGTTATTTTACCATATGTTGCTAGGGAATGGACATGTCGCATGGGTTCGATGACAACCATGAGAAACAGCAAGAAGACATGGAAAATCAAATTATACAGCCACCTCATTAGTTTTAATAAGCTTGCATCATCAGCCATACCCTAGTCTCTTTTACAAGGGCCCTTTGTCTAGACAGGTTGCATAGATGGAAAAAAAGGGCTCTGGTCATACGAAGCATAGCTAGGCATTCAGCATCAGTGGAGTTGTAGATCATTTGGAGGGTATTTTGTCTGTGCTTTTCAGCAACAGACCTAGTACCGTAAACTATTGGCTCTTCTTCGGCCCTAAGCCTCCTAAGCCTAGTCATCAGAAAGGATAGCATGACCACAACCATGGCTGCAGCTTGTCTTGCCATCAAATGACGATGTTCATAGGGATCCATCTACAAAGCAATGAACATTGACATATATAACTCAGATGTAAACACCCTGGCTGGCCTCAACATGCATGAGTGAGAATTCAACAACAAAAAATATCAGGGCTGCATAGGGAAAAATGCCTCCAGTACAAGGACATATTCATCATCGACCGTAACAGTATATCAAACGAAAAAAAAACATGAGCAAAAGCATGGATCTGTGCAAATCGAACAGCTTTATCACAAACAGCAACATGATTGAGCTCAATGTACTCAAAATAGGCAACAATAGATCCAAAATAACCAAACCATGCATCATTTCCATAGGCGCATCCAAACCCTAGGGACGAACAAAACCCTAACATCGCAAGAATGGGGAAATGGGGTCAATTTTACCTCGGGGTGGTCGTCGGAGCTTTTGAGGTGCCCGGAACGGAGAGGAAGAATAGCAGTCGGTGGAGAGGTACCAGATCTGGAAGGAGAGGAGGCAGATCCGCAGCCACCAACACCAGCCCCACCAACGGAGTCGAGGAAGACGAAGGAGGAACAACACCGCCTCCACGGAGCCTAGGAGGAGACAGAGCGGCCACGCGACGAACCAGATCCGACGGTGATGAACGGAGACAAGGCCCAGGGACGCAGGGCAACGCCGCGACGGCCACCAAACTCGCCAAATCCTCCAGTCACTCAATGAGATTGCGGTGGGGAAGGAAGGGAACGAGGTCGGGAAATGGAGGAGAGGAAGACGAAGCTGGGAGGGAGCAGCTTATAAAGACAGCGCGGCGGGGGAGGGAGGGAGGCGCGCGGACATTTCTGCATTCCTGCGCGAGCCCGCGCGAAGCAACCACCGCCGACGAAATTCACCCGGGAGGAGACGGAGAGAGCCGAGCCTTAGAGAAACGAGACCTAATCTCGTTTGTTTCCCAGCGTGCAGGAGAGAGAAGGAAGTATGCACCGCGGCAGCCTGGCTCCCAGGGGGCCAAGAGATATCAAACACGAGCAACTGCAGCTAGGGGGCGCAGGGCCAGCCTTTTGGCCCATATCAAACACGCCCTTGGTGCACCCGTAAGACTCTCTCCAACAGAGCATGCAAACCGTGACCCAAATGCAAAATATGTCATTCACGGTGTTTTGCCTAAAAAAACGCGAAGACCCAAACACCTCACCCATTTTGCATACGAAGCTTGCCGAAACGCAAATCTGCGTCGTCGAGAGAGACCGACGCAAATCTCTGGCGTCGTAGTGGTGGGCCCGTAGGAGCGGGGCACGGCGAAGCGCGGCCAGGCGGACCGCTGTGGGGAGCCGCCGTGGCGAGGAGCTAGGGCGGCGAGGTCCGCCTCGAGGCGCGGCCGGCGGGTACCGTAGCGAGGCGGGGAGCGGGGCGCGTCCGTCGGGGAGTGGGGATCTAGGGTCCTCCTCACCCGCGACGGCCGAATCCAGGAGGGAGGGGAGCCGTGCTCAACGAGGGAGGGGAGAGAGGGACGGGCGGCGCCAGGGTAGAGAGGGAGAGAGGGACAGGAACGGGCGGCGTGGGGGAGAGAGAGTGAGGAGAGAGGGACGGGCTTTTGGGTAGGCTGTTGGAGAATGCGAGTTTTTTGGTGCATGACCCTTTTGCTGTGCGTGACCCAAACTATGAAATGGGTCTCCGATTTAGGTCTGTGCTGTTGGAGATAGCCTAAGTACCGAATGCACACTGCAGAGTACTGAGTACAAGTGCCGCTTGTATCTGTTGCTGTTTAACTTAAAACAAGCACACCATCGTATGTGCACTGAGCATTGTAGACACATCTTAGCACAATTTTCAGAACTTCACCTGTCAGGCATTCCAAGTCTGGAAGGTGCCACAAACAAAGTCGTAGCGAGCACCGATGAGTTTGAGTGTTCCCTTGGCCAATCTATCCATGACAAATGGGTAGGTCTTCAGGTTTCTAAGGGACAAATTGACGGCCTCCTGCATACCATTCAAAAAATGCTAGATCAGCATGTAATCCGATTGAGAATCAACTAGTAGTTAGCACTGGGGTTTCACTAACTTGGTTAGCAAATGAGAAATAAATCAGCAAACTGAAGCACTGAAAACAAATTTTTAGTAGACTCACAATTTCCAACTTGGTGCATTGTTCATCAAAAGGCAGAAAGCCATGTATTCTCTCCACCTTCTTCTTGATATCCAGACCGATCTTGACCCAGTTTTCAATGAAGCTAAGAGATCAAATGAACAGAATACAACTTAGAATAAAGAGAGTATCAAAGATGCTTAGATAATATATATTAGTACAGTACCCATTACTCAAACCAACTTTTAGCTCACTTGTTTATGGGAAATATACAATTATGCATGTTTTTCTACTCCTCTTTGTAACATACAATTATGCATGGTTTTCTTTATCACCAAACATAGTGGAGACAGACAATTTGGAGCAAGATTAAGATGATTACTTACTAGGTGTGTGGTCTATCTTCCTTCAAAGAGAGGAGTGCCCTGATTCCACCACAGCAGCTGTGACCAATAACCACAATACACTCAACCTGAGAATAGGGTGTCCATCAACTTGTTTTCCATGGACAGAAGAATAAATCTCTTATAGTTCGTAATAGGGCAATTTATGTGACTATATACAGTATAACTGCCAGTATCATTCCATTGTAGGAATATTTTATTCCTCTGCACAAATTTCAGTGGTTTTGATATAGCTAATGGAGGTATAGTTACCACAGGGATTCTAAACAGCAAACTATAAATTTAGGTTTATTCATAAAGTATTAGATAAATGACACATGACAAAAAAAAAAACCTTCCCAAATCATGCTAACAATTAGGGAGGAGTGCAACAGGATCCTGTAGCACAAGTAGTCTGGTGGCACTGTGTTTTTATTGTCTTTTTTTTTCTTACAAGACTATGTCACATTCATTGACAAATGAACCAAAACACATGAATGCAAGATGGATGTTTTAGGGTTAGGCATTCTAAAAACAACAGGGAGAAGCTCACCTTGAGGATGGTCACAGCATACTCGATGGCTGAACCGATATTGCAGTGCACATTCTGTGGTCATACATGAATGTCCAGGTTAGTTAATTGTACCTCCAAAAGCACTGGCCAGAATTATTACTTCTTGAAAATAAAATATGAAAAATAATCTCCATAAGCATGAACCTGCTTGTAGGCTGGGACCAGGCTGGCAATATTACGGACAGTAAAGGCTTCTCCTGGCTTTAGGTCAAGGGTCACTGATGGACAAACACGCGAGTCAGAGCATGCAAACACCATGTACTGCAAGAAATAACAGAATAACCATCAAATCAGAGAGGAGAAAAAAAGGCTGACTCCTTAGAACACGGACCTTATAGAGATCAAAGATTTCCGAATGGAATGGTTTTGACTATAGATTTATTGGGGACCTTCGCAACACAGCAAGGAAGTAAATAGACATTGAATGATTCACATCCACTCCTGCCTAATATCCAGAAGATGAGTGAAAGTTGTTCATGTATCCTTTATGTGTCTCCTTCAGTCCTTCCCATTAAATGAATGATGATGTGAATGAACATATTACAGACACCAATCAGACCATAAACACTACAACTTGGTAGGAGGCATTAATTATTTTGGTGGAGCTCCAGGTTCCAAGTCCCACCTGACGCAGCAGGTAGGTTACTTGCTTATCTCCAGTTGACCAAACTGATCATCTCCTGATACTAAGTTACAGAAACTCACAGAATGTATGAAATCATATGAAGTGTGAAGTGTAAATTAAACTACAACCCAAAGGACAAGACCAATTGCCAAACAGACAATATGTAAATATGCATGACGGGGTGAAAAGACTCATTTGCCTCATCTGTTTAACAGGCAATCAGAGTATCAGACACCACCACATGCACAATTCTCTTGTGTATTTATTATTGTTGGAGTTTCACCTTTGGAAAAATGCTCCAACCACAAAAGCGACCCTCCAGACAGCAAGGTTTGTTGCCCCATCAAGAATTTGTATGCAGGGTGAAGTGGCAAGGTGGGCATGATTCAGTTTTTATGTTATATAACCAGTTATGGATGGGTGTAATTGCATTTTAAAGTTATCATCAGCTTATTCTTGTATGTGAGCAACACGCAAATTGCCATGTTTAACATTTGACCCTGTGCGGCCAACAAGTCTACTCATTTAGTATCATGAGGAGAAGAAGCTAATTCTAGTCTATGGTCCAACACAAACTGCTGCAAAACTGAAGCTACAAGTATTACCTTTTGTTTTAAAGACCTACTCCGTACTTCTGAACTGAAGAACTGCAGGTTAATTCTTGTTTGTGGGATTTCATTTAGTATCCTAAGGTTTCCAAAACTATGAGACCAGAATTTCGATTAGTAAATTTGTTATTCAAACTTATAAATACGTTGCAAATAATCAGACTTCTCATATATAACTTTCTAGGACAAGAGAAAGTAGAAGCAGCAACAGAATAACCAGACATTTTGTTCAGTTTTTATTTTATTTGAGAATGTTCTATTTGGCTGAACTATCGGTGAAAGTTATCCTTAACAGATGCACACATTGATGAATGAACACATCCTGAATACAGTTGAACGAACAGAGGGTTTTTTCCCCCAGGCATCAATGGATGGAAAATACCTTCGGCGACTGGGCAGACTTGAGCTGACCGAACAACTTTGGGTTCTGACTGCAACAACCGCCAAATCAGAAGAACGAACTGAATCAGGAACAAACTCAAATTCAGGTGCAGAATTCCTTGGCCGTACGAGAAAACTCACTCGTAGACGTTCTTTTTAAACGTCCGGAACCCAGCCTTCAATCTCTCTGCAGCGCCCAGCCCCTGCAAACATCGGCAGCAGCCGTCAGCCACGAGGGTGAAAGTTGAAACAACACAATGCGGGCAGGTGACAGGAAAATTGCAGGAACTGGAGACTGACCTCGCTGTACGTGACCATCGGTGCTGGGTAGGGGTAGTCGGCAGCGCTCGATCCGCGCCGGATGAGCTGTTCCTGATGCATCGCCATCGGGTTTTCCCGCGGAGGCTTTCGATCGAGGAAGCAGCAGCAGCAGCCCCCCATCGCCGATCCCGCTCGCGAGCCGCTCGAGGAGGGAGAGATCGATGGAGGGGATTTTTGGACTGTCCGCGGACCTAAGGGAAGGTGGAGGAGAAGAGGGTTTTGCAGATTTTGGTCGGGATGAAATTGAACTCGGTCAGAGTATTCGTTAGAGCATCTCGAACAGTTACCAAAGATCTTTCCCCAGTATACATGTACTGGGGCCATTTCTGTATCGCACCACTACGTCGGTATTGTTTGTTTTCTTTTATATAATATTGACACTAGAGGTTTTTTGCTGGGATGGTCTAGCTACGGTTATTTTAGGTCGACCTTCTTCGGCGCTCGGTAGAAACGCGTTGTTTATATATTTAAACTCTTCTTCTTGATATAATGATACGCAGATCTTTTATATATTCAAGAAAAAAATATACATGTATTGGGGTTGCCCAATATCATCTTTTGTTAATATTAGGGGAGTTGCTGCAGCAGTACCATAATATATCACCACAATAGCCATATGAAATGTGAGGCCCACATAAGTGTAAAAGAAAATATGGCTGAAAAGTGGTAGCTGGAATGGTTCCCATGGTATTGGGGGATTGTATCTCTCATTTTTCTTTGAGGGGAGATTAGGAAAATATTGGTAGCAAAAAAAAAAGACATATTAGGGAACTATTAGAGTAAGAAAAAAATATAGTTATCCTCAATATAACAGATTTATAGAGATAGGAAAGGTATTGGAGAACTGCTGAAAATGCTCTTAGCAGTAGGGGATTGATTAGGACATTAGGCTTCCTCTGATTTGAACGGGAAGGCATTGAAGCCGAAAGCGAGAGGTCTGTTCAGGTCTCAGGATCGCCCTATGGCTCCCGCCGCAACTTTAGGGTTCCGTTTGGCATAATTTTTTGGGGAAATTTGAAGACTAAGTTTTTTTCACCGGCTTCAGGAGCCATTTTGCGTCAAATAGGTTAAAATGAAATAGTTTCACCCAACAAGTATTGTTGAGTATCAAGCAAAGAGGTAGATTTTTTTTACGAATTACACAAGTACAGACGCAGACGTTCAACACGTACGCACACTCGTCCATATGGACACATGTACGCAAACCCTACCCCTATGAGCACGTCCGAAAGACTGTGCCGGCACATCTCGAGATTGATGAAGTCACCACAGGCGCCTCGCTGTCGACGGGAACGTCGCCTACCACTGAAAGCACAACGCCGTTAAATCCCGAAGTCACCACAGACGCCTCGCTGTCGACGGAAACGTCGCCTACCACTAGAAGTACAACGCCGTTAGCTGTCGACGGGAACGTCACCTACCACTGAAAGCACAACGCCGTTAAATCCTGTAATAAATCCAAGAAAGTACAGAGCACCCGTGCCAAGTCAAGGACTTGAACCCGGGTGGGCAGGTTCCACCACAAAGAACCTAACCAACTGAGCTAGACTTAGTTCGCAAAAACCAAAGAGGTAGATTAAACCCTTGGATTAACACCATGACGGTCCGATTAACCACCGGACTAACTTAATCGGATTCGCTCGCGCACCCTCTGGCCCATCGACGAATGGTTTAGCGGGCCTTAGATGGCCTGTTTTGGGAGAATGTCTAAGTGTCGGCTGAACGAGCCGAGGAACTAAGAGTGTGTTTGTTTTGAGAAATAAGGTGGTCCATCATCAATAAATCAATTTGCCATAAGTAAATTTTCAATAAGTAAATTTAATATAATATTTTTATAAATATCTAAAAAACTAAAGTGACAGATTAAGTTTATGTTTGGCCCTTAATTATTGCCTTTGTCTAAGTTTAGCACCTCAACTATAAAACCGTTCAATTTTGACCTCTGAGACGGTTTTGAGTAGCTTTGAGGTGCCAAAGCTATAGGATTTTGTACTTGAAGGTTACAATTAGACAAAGACAAAAATTGAGAGGTTAAAAATGGACTTCATCCAAGAAAAAACACTATGTCTTTGCAGGTTACCTTTGCAGTTTTCCGCTGGCGCCATACCTGGTCTATCGTCCATAAGCCCGACTTATATAGGTTTTGGTTGTGGAGGTCTCTAACAATTGCTACCGGTGGTCGTAGACTTTTTTCCCCAGGCACATGAGTGGTGGTCTAGTCTACAGATTAATAGCTATCAAAATGTGTGTTTATTTGTTGTATGCTTTTTGTTAGGTAGAAGCCAAAAATACTCTCCCAAGACTGTGTATCAACTCGATGTGTTGTCCTTGGAGGTTTTAATAAAGTCGTTCATTATAAAAAAAAGTCATTTTTAGTATTCTCTCTAAACAAAATATCTAACGGTAAGAAACATTAGCAGGCCTAATGCCCACTTTTCACCGATGGACGGAGAAGACTTTTCCTTAAAAAATTAAATAAAGAACCTAGCACGCTATTCCGCCAAAAAAAAACATAGCACGCCATAGCCGTTCTTTCCTTTGAGGGTACGAGAGTCAGCATTTCAGGGAGAGAGAGAGAGACAGACAGACAGAAAGACAGAGAACAGTGTGCGATCATAGTATAAATATTATATATGGCTGATGTCTTCTGACCACAAGTTGATCAAATTATGCATCATATTCATATCATAAAAAAAACTCCGCGTTAGAAGTCAAAGCACGCAGGTATTATTGCTTATTACAGTATAGTTGCTCTCATCGGTCAATTCCGGTATATGTGTGTATAGCGGCAAAGAAGTACTCCACGCGGCAAATAAGTTCGGGAGCGTATTTGTACGTATGGTGTAGCCTTGTTGGGGTTATATGAAGCTGCGGCTGTTTGGCCGCTTAGGGGTCCCATGTCTCGAACTTTCCATTGACGAAGTCGTAGTGGCCGCCGACTAGCTTGAGGGTCCCTTTCTCCAGCCCTTCCTTGACGAACGGGTAGGTCTTGAGGTTCTCAAGGGACACGTTGACGGCCTCCTGCAAGATGAAAGTATTATATTGGTATTCAGAGACCGAGATGTCGTATTCAGAGATCCAACACAGCATACGTACGCCAATAAGCGTGCGTGTACAACGTGGTCAAAGAGACATCGTGTGTAGGAGTAGTGTGCACCGTACCTTCTCCAGGATGGAGCATTGGTCTTCGAAAGGCACCGAGGCGTGGTCGGCCTGCACCTTAGTCTTGGCCGGGGCGCCGATCCTGACCCATTCCTCGACGAAGTGGCTGCAGGACAAGGCAATCAAACAACATGCAACACAGGCTCTCGTCAACAACGACAACAATAAAAAAGTGATGCAAGAAGAAGAAACAGCTAGCTTTAACGCCAGTGCTGTGCTGTCATCAGTGTCTGAATCGATCGTTCATCCGGTAGAGTACTAGGTGCTTACAACTTGTCTGGCGCGCCGTCCTCGAGGGAGAGCAGCGCCTTGATCCCGCCGCAGCGGCTGTGGCCGATGACGACGATGACCTCCACCTTGAGGGCGCACACGGCGTACTCGATGGCGGACCCGGCGCCGGCGTACTTGGTCTGCAGGAGGCGTGCGTACGTGTGAGTCGCATCAATGGCGCCAGGCCATGCAGGAGGAGGAGGAGGAGGCGTCCATGCGTGCGTGCGTGTGCATGCTTTGTTACCTTGTCGTAGGGTGGCACCATGCTGGCGATGTTGCGGACGGCGAAGGCCTCGCCGGGGTGCAGGCCCAGGGTCACCGACGGGCACACGCGGGAGTCGGAGCAGGCGAACACCATGTACTGCAATTGCATATGCAGCCAATTCATGGACGGCAAGAGAAAGAGAACAGTCAACAGCCGGCCGGTGGAGTATGGTATGTACTCTTCCGATTCCGATACTAAAAGAAAAAAAAAGCTGCTACTTTGGAGGAAAAAACAGCTGGCCTTTGACGCTTTTGTTCTCAGGCTCTCAGCCTCTTCCTTAAACGAGAAAAAAAAGCTGGGGGTAGGAACTAAAAGGTAAATAAAAGCTAGGGTGAGTGACGTACAGTACAGCTAGGGGTAGAAACCAGCATATGGCTTGGAAAACGTATGGAATCTTGTGTTCCAGCCAGCGGCGCGTATGTAACTATGTATTATAGCTCGCGCTCGGCATTTTCAACGGCAAACGTCAGATAACTTTAAAGACGTCGATATCAATATCAATATTTACTTCATGAGGAAGAAAGAAATTAAGAGAGATACAAGCTGCTGCTACCTGTCATCGCAAGTAGTACGTATATATTTGTCCATTTAAGTTATTCTATATCTAAGTTAGATTTTCCTAGCTTTGACCATCATTCTTTTAAAAAAAATATATATATATTCAGACATAAATATTGGTGCTCTTTTTTTAAATAAATTATTAGATCAATTTCAAAATAGTTTGACTTTGGGAAGTTGATTTGTTTTGGAAACGAGGGAGTAGTCTCTATCTATCTATGCAATATATCTACAATCATTCAACTTGTTCGCTTGTTGGTTTCAGCCAGAGCTTATTAGTCATGATACAGTGTTTTCTTCTCACAACAAACCAGCATCAGCCGGGCTTATCAGCTCAAAAACAAACCAGCGAACGGGCTAATTAACTTCTCATAAAAAAGCACATTATTGGCAACATCCCAAGCGGAGGACCCGTGATCCCGCCCGGATGTGAAGTGTCGTGGACCAAGGTGTGGAGTGTTGACAAATCCCCACGGAATTCCAAATTCACTGAATACGCGGTACGGCTTGGAAATAAAATTCCGACGCAGGCAAAACTCGCAGAATAACAGGAAATGAAATAGCATTTCGCTGCTCCAAGAGGAAGATCGGACGATCCGCCAGGACATACCTTGGGTGACTGGTGCGCCTTGAGTGGCTCGAACAGCTCCGGCTTCTTGCTGCCAACAAAACGGGAGGCAGATCGCAAGCAGATCAGTTCACGTAAACTCGTTCGTCGATTCGCGTAACATCGACTCCATTTACGAATCGATCGAGCACAGGGTTAGAATTACTTACTCGTAGACATCGGCCTTGAACTGCTCGAACCCGGTCTTCAAGCGCTCGACGGCGTCCGCCATGTCGTCCTGCAAGAACAACGTTACCGCAAATTAATTAATTAATAATCATCAACCACCTCTTTCCACATCCACAACAAGAGCGTGTGTGTAGTGGATATTCTTGAATCTTCGATGCATCAGCGGATTTCTTGTGAGGATCGTTCGAATTTTGGCTTTTCTTGTCCGATCCCCACATGATGCCACAAGAAAAGCATGCGGGAAGGTGATGTAAACTGGATACAGGATCTGCTTTTTGCAACAAAAAAAGAAAGCGAAAGGGCATGCTAGATAAGCTGGAAGATGGATGGATGGATCATGGATGCTTGCATGGAAGGATGGGATCGGTGGATGGGAGGAGGAGGAGGACGACGACGACGACGACCTTACACGCACGGTCGGAGAGGAAGAGAGCTGGTTTCTGAAGGATTGACGAAGAGGAGGGAGGGATCGGAGGAGTCTGCGGACTGCTGCTTCGCTGTAGCCTGTAGAGCTACCTCGCGATGGGGCCGTGTTTTTATAGAGGGGAGAGGCAGGAGAAGGAGCGGCCCAGCTTCTTTTCCTCCTCCCCACTCCGGCCGTGTGTGACAGGAACAGGATGGATGGACGCGGTAAACGGCGAAGCTGTCCAGACCGAGACGTTTCTCCTGTATACTCCCTCTCCGTCCCTCCGTCTTCAAATGTAGCGTATCTATATCTATATTTGTCCTAAAGTCAATTCATTTCATATTTAATCATAACTATAGAAAACATATTAACTTCTACCACATCAAAAAGGCAAGTCATAATATTCCATAAAAAAAAAGGTATTGATGTCAAAGATATTTATTACCCTTTTCTATAAATTTAATCAAATTTAAGATGAATTCACTTAGGACAAATGAAATATACTATACTTCACGACAGAGGGAGAATGTATTGTGCTATATTAGGACTATATATAGGAAAGGTACTAGTAAACACATAGCTTGTTACATGGTCATTTGGACAATTTGTTGTTTAGATATTTATCCGGTGATCGTCATACATTTTATCTGGAATCGAACTCCATACCATCATGATGCGTGTTATTTTAACTCGTATGAGCATGAATTGTGAGTCCATGTGACCAGGTCACCTATGGATAGGGAGGGCGTGAGGGCATTATGGAAAATATAAAAAAAATGGACAAAAGAGTAGATAGATAGATTAGGCAGATAGATATAGATATAAATATATTTAGAGATATAGATACACCGCTAACTCACAAAACTCTCCTGAAGGTCAAGGGGAGGCCTCAGTCTGGTGAAGATATTATTGTTATTTTATATAAATTTAATCAAATTTAAGATAGATTAACTTAGGACAAATGAAAATACACTATACTTCAGGGGAGTATATATTATGCTACATTAGGACTATACTAGGAAGGGAGATGAGGTTTTCCACAGCGATGCCTCTAAGAAAGGAAACAACATGAACCGATGTCATCAAATGTCAACGGAAGAACCAAAGTTTTTCAATAGACCAGATGAAAGGGGGTCTCGCGACAATGCCTTAGAGATGGTGCTACCAAAAGCATCACTATTGTCGGACACAAACACAACGAAAGCCTGGCAGGAGCCAGGAGCTTCGCTCGATAGCCCCCTCACCTCTGTTCCAAAAACCAGTTACGCCGTGGAACCGAGGGCGAAGGCATTGCCATGTGATTACCAAGACATCAACGACAACCATGACGGCTTAATAGCCGAATGATCTCTAAATCTATTATCCGGCCAATTATCGATGTGAAATCATGCCCTGGCTACCGAAGTGCCAAATTTGGTTGTCCACGTGAATATTGCTTTTGGATGTATTTTGAGAATTTTGATAACATTTCATATACACATATATTGGGTATCATGTTTAGGTGTTTATATATTATATTATTATTAACCGGCGTCGAGTTCAATTTGACCCTGACTGGGCCCCAGGAATTTTAGGACCGTGGCACACTGCAAGCATCCAGCAACGGAAACAATGCCGGCCGGTCGAATAATACGAGCTTTTGGCATTTCATTTCTCGCCCGAACAGACATATGTGCCGCCCTTATAAAAGACAAATAACCATCAGCCTGGTCGTTTGGCTGTGGCTTGTCATAAACGATCGTAAATGTTCAGATTGTAAATTTTCAGCACACACACCAACCAAAGATATTTTTTTTTACTCACACAAACCAACCAGCCAACCGAACAGATTTTTTTGATATATATATATATATATATATATATATATATATATATATATATATATATATATATATATATATATATATATATATATACACGTCAGGCGGGCCTGTCAACGTTAATATTTTGCATCTAGCTGGAGGCAGAGATACGTCAGGCGAGCCTTGCCAGTCTTATCTCCAGAGCGCGGTTTCATCTTATACATCTATCTATCTATACTATAAAAAGCAAAGAAATTAGAAATACCTTAGTCACCCGAAAAATTATACCCACCTTTATGAGAATCCTTAGATTATTTGTTACCTTTTAATCTGAAGGTGGATATTAATTTGACCATGGGCCACGCATTAAAAAACAAAGTCTTACGCTCAGCGTAAGAAATCTTACGCGTTCCTGCAGTGTAAAAGCTCTCCCCGTCCTCCCCGTCCTCCTCCGTGCTGGTTTTTTCACCCACGCACGTACCCGCTGATCGCCTATACCCACTTACTAGGGAGAAAAAACTTAAGTATCCTATCCAATCTATGGAACCGCCGGCACCGATCGGTTCTCAATCAGCGCCTCCTCCTCCATCCTTCCGTCTCGCTAGCAGAGGGCGAGCCGGCCCTTGCCGCCGCTGTATTTTTTTTCGTGCCTCCTTGACGAGGTCGAGCCGGCATCTTCTACGAGACCGGCTAGGCCACCACTCCTTTGCTTTGCGGTCCACCATCCGAGATGATCAAGCCGTCACAACCTTACGGTCCCAACGAGATCGCGTCTGCGGTCTGCCATAGCCAGAGAGCGCCATCGCACGTGAAGACCCAACTGACCTCAATGTCCATCTGCCGCTCCTGCCATTGTCCGGTCGTCGGTGAGCCTCCCTGCATCTTCCCTTTGTCTCTCTGACTGGCGCCTCATGTTCGTTTTCTGCTCATCCGTCCGTCATGCCAGCCTTCCATGCCAAGTGCATGCACCGCCCTGTGGGAAGTCTGATGCTACTTTGTGTGTCGTCTTGCTGCTGCTTGCGATAGTTGCCTCTGGCCTGGAGAGTAGAAGCTGCCGCTAGGAAAATGATGTTGCCTACCAGGAACGTACGAACTACGAAGCTGCAAGACATGCTCCAGGGCAGGTCCCTTCTATCTTCCATGCATGTTGCTTTCTAACTTCCATGCATGTTGTTTTCAGTTAATCAACCCTGTTTTGTTAATTGTCTGCAGTCTGTGTCATGCCGTGTTCTATCTAATAACCCATGATTAGAATAATAGATGCTATCCTCCTATAGTCCTAACATACATCTTTGATCAAACGCTTCATCCTTTTATTAGTAACGTTTTGGTCTCTTCTTATGTGGTGAGTGGTGACATCATGACTCTCATGCTGCAGTGATACTGAGCTTTGAACTGGCTTGACACGAGAAAAGCATCGAGGCATGTATTTTTTTGAACGAGTCAAGTAATAATTGGGAAAATAATTTCATCTTCATGATCTTGGTTTAGCTTGATGTATAATGATTAAAAAAACAATGCTTGATCGATTTTAAAAATGAATAAATGCTAACTAATTTGTAATGGTTTTTAGATGAGCCGCCATCATATATTTCCTACGTTGTGGATGAAATAGGACATCTGATCGCCGGAGGCAGGTGACCAAGTTTTGATCCCAATGAAGCACCGCCAACATGACATAATATTGGGTTGGTTGCTTCCTTGCTTCTCTTGTTTAATTTCTGCATTATTAGCTATCACCAGGAGGATGATGTAGGGCTCGCCATTGCTTAAATTATTTGTAATTATATGCTAACTGGTTTGGCATATTAATTATTCGGAGCTGATTTTGTTGAATCTTTGCAACTAGGTGGTTGCTTCAAATTTGAGTTGTCGTTCATGAGGCTACCGAGTGAAGATTGTGATTTGGCAAAAGCAACAATACTACCGGTAATGCTTGATCGATTTCTATATTGAATAAATACCGACTAATTTCTAATGCTTGCTATGCGTTGTGGATGGAACGGGACATTAGATCGCTGGTTAAACAAGGGGCAAGAGGCAAGTGACCGAGTTTCGATCCCCAGCAAAGCATCGCCAACATCACTTAATATTGGGTTGGTTGCTTCCTTTCTTCTCATGTTTAATTTCTACATTATTGACTATCATGAGTGGATGACGTAGGGCTGGCCATTGTTTCTATTATTTGTAACGACATATTAATCATTCGAGCTGATTTTATTGAATCTCTGCAACCAGGTGTTGCTTTAGATGTGAGTTGTCATTCATGAGGTTAAGAGTGAAGATTGTGATTTGGCGAAAGCAACAATGCTACCGGTAATCTATATGTTTCTTGATTTTATGCAAAACACGACAGCTATTCCAAGCATGATAATTTGGACTGCATTGAACATGCAAGGCTATGTAGAAGAGAAATATACTCTATGTTGTGTTGAATCAATAGTTTGCATTATATTAATAAAGAAAAATTGTTCACAATTATAAGGAATGCATGTTAGAATTTTATGTGAAATTGACCGTTCGTCTTAGCATGATTTGATATATATTAGACTGATAACTTTTATTAGTCTATATATTTAATTTAAGATCTAAGTCTATTATTGTTATTCTTTTATTTATATATGAATATTTTGTAGACACGTGCGTGTCGCACGTGCATTTCCACTAGTATAGAGGAAGATACTAGCAAATACATAGCTTGTTACATTGTTATTTTGACGATTTGTTATTTAGAGACTTATTCGGTGATCGTCATATGTTTTATTTTGAATCCACTTGATGTACCCGTGTTATTTTAACTCGTATAAGTATGGACCATGAATCCAGCTGTGACCAGCTCATAGGGTGAGGGCATTATGGAAAATATAAAAAATGGACAGATGAATCATTTCGTCCTTTAATATTAGGCAGAAGAATAGATATAGATATAGATAAGTCTGAGTCTGGTGGGAGCTCCGGAGGAAGCAGGCGTGGCAACGGTGACGATGTGCCATACGTTCTACAGAGGGAAATGCATACGGGTTTATTTACAAAGCCGCACCTAAATTTTCTAGGAATAGTTGAAAGACCGCACTAATAATTTTTCTAGAACAGTTGAAATAGTTGAAAGACCGCACTAATAAATTTTCTAGGAACAGTTGAAAGACCGCACTATAAAAGTCATGTCTTTATAATCAATAACGTAGTTTGGGTTTTATAAACTTTTTTTACTGTTCCTAGAAATCGTTTCTACAGTAGTGATGAGAAGGACCATGGTGGATACTAGAGTGCATGGTGGAGTGCGGCGGGAACACGTAAACTTTTGTAGGAAAACTATCTAGGATTCTAGTGCAAAAATTTAAGGGCCCTAGACGCTCACTTGGAACCATGTTAAAATCTTATAATATATATGAACTAATTTTACTTGCAAAATAAAAGCAATTCAATAATATATTTTAATTTAACATGTCTGATAATTATCGGTGTTAATGTAGATTAAGTATATTTTGTAGGCAAAATTATGAGGAATCTAATGTATATTAAAAAAGTAAGATATTTGTTTTCTTTTCTCATCCATTACAAATGTTTCAGTGGGTAACATTCTAAAATTTTTGGAAGAAAAATATTATATGGGTCTAGAGTACTATACAAATAATTAATTTGAATTAAAAATAAAAAGGAAAAAAACTTGGGCCTAAAAAGCGATCGGTGATCGCAATTGTAATAAGCCAAGAATCAAGATGTCGCCGTCACCCTCCCTCGTCACCGCCTCGTCGCCGTGTCACCCTCCGATGGTCTAGCTCCTCGGTGATCACTAAGGCGCCGCGCGAACTCACGATCGAGAGTGTGTCAGGCGACCTCCTCTCTCCCCGAGGGTGGGGAAAGAAAATAGAAAAAAAACACCGATGTTGTCTTTTTGGGTCGTCGACCCCAGCTTTTATTTCTCTTCTCATTAGTTTGCTAATGCCTAATGAACTATAGGACCTCAAAGTTTGTATACACAGGTTTGGGCCCTCCTCCGCTTGGCCCCTCGGTCACTTTGGTGGCCTACCCCTAGGGCCGCAGCGATCTAGGCAAAGGTCTAGGCCACTTGGAGAGGTTTTACTTAGGGGGTGTTTAGTTCTCCAATTTTGTCAAAAGTTTTGGTGTTTTAGTCTATCTTTTGGTAAAATGGATCTAAACACCATGTACTCTCTTCAAAGTTTTGACATTTGGGACCCAAGAGGCCCTCTCTCTCTCTCGTCTCTCCGGGCGTCCACTACCCCTCCCACCCACCCGTGAAGACCATGGCGTGATCGCTCTCTGGGCGACTCGGGCGCGCTCTCTAGCTCCAGCGCCATCGGCCGATCCCCCCTCAGCCTCACCGCGCAGGCAGCGGGAAGGTCAGCAAAATGAAGCGGCGATGGGGCCCCATGGCGGCTCTCTCTCTCTCTCTCTCTCTCTCTTCGGGTGAAGACCATGGCGTGGTGACCGAGCCGGCGGATGCTCCTAGCTTCCGTCGGATCCGCAGCAGCCTAGGCCGGATCGGGGGCCCGGCCTCCATGGCGGCAAGCGGCGGCGTTAAGGTCCGTGTGCCCTCTTGGAGCCGATGATGGGCTGGACGGTGGCAGGCGGATCGGGCGCGGTCAGGCGATCCGCGCTCCTGTGTCGGATTCGCCACGCCGCTGATGCGCGTCGGTCGCAAGCGATCGTGGCAGCGGATGGGCGCCTCTTCCTCCTCGGGCCTCAACGGCGGGCGCGCGAGGTTTGGATCCATGCTCCCTCGCCGATTCTCAAGGCAAAGCGGAGCCGCTTCGGCTAGCGCAGGTGCGGGCGGCGGTGGCTGGCCGGCGCGCACTATGATGGCTACGCGGCCTCCCGCGTCGACCGTTGGACGGCGGCCAGGGCAAATCAACCATTAGATGAGGGCAAATCAATCTTCTATTTATATGGTGCTAAAGTTTTGCTATGGATCTAAACACCAAAGCCTCAAGTCAGAATGCCAAAACTTTAGCACCAAAAGATTTGGTGGCATGGCTGTTGCATCTAAACACCCCCTTAGTTTTATTTTGCGTTAGATGCATTCGGGGTGAGGTAACATTTGTTGTAATAAGTAATAACATAGTGTGGTGAATGACAACGCGGCAGCGAGAGACATCCCCTTCGTCCTGTTCCTTGCTCTCCTTCCCCCTGACTTAGGGGGTCACCCGCTGGCGCCGCTAGGGCCCCCCTCCTGGCCTCCACTCTGGACACTGTCATTGCCCCTCCAACGCACGGTGACGACAGTCCGTGGCGCCCCCAAAAAAGGGCAAAGGTCGCAGCCCCTCCTCCCTCCCCCTCTCTCCTACACCACCCCTCCTCACCTTCTTCTCCGGTGTCCTGGGCATCTGGCGAGGCCGATCTGAGATTTTGAATTATTATTATAGTTTGTTCACCTTCCTTTTGTAAGCATAATACACCCGCTTGTATGCGTTAATATCGTTGGAGATTGAGCTTTTCCTCATTGTTGAGAACCATTTTTTCTTGTTCCTTCAGGTCCTCTTCTTTTTTTGATAATACTTGCTCCGTTGAGGAGTATATGGTGCATATGCATGAAAAAAACATATGAAGAATAAATTTGAATCGACCTCACATAAAATGGTGTCATATATCAGCTTTTCATAGAGAGACAGACAAGATGAACAGCACAAGGCATTAGAAAAAGGTAAACGCTTCTTAATAATATTGCGAAAAAAAGATTATAGCTAATGTCTTTTGACCACAGGGCGGTCAAATTACTCATCATATAATATATTACATAGACATGAAAGCTCGGCGTTAGAAATAAAAGCGGTAGAAAATGATATTGCTTATTACATTCACATTGGGCGATCCGGTATATATGTATGTAGCTGCATGCTGAAAACATGCAGGTAGTACTCCACGCATTCACATCGATCGGGTGCATATCGGTAGGTATGTAGTATATATATTTATGATGGTGTAGGAGTTGTTAAGCGGGCGGCCGGGTGGCTTAGCTCTTAATTTCCCATGTGTGGAACTCCCCTGACACGAAGTTGTAGTGGCCGCCGACCAGCCTGAGGGTCCCGTTGGCCAGCCCTTCCTTGACGAAGGGATAGGTCTTGAGGTTCTCGAGGGACACGTTCACAGCCTCCTGCACAAACATTCAGAAATACAAGATCCTTTGATGAGCAAAATCAATCTATTCAGACAACGACTGCTCGAGCGTGTACGGTGTATACCTTCTCCAGGATGGAGCATTGGTCATCGAACGGCACCGAGGCGTGCTCTTTCTTCACCTTCACCTTGGCAGGGAAGCCGATCCTGACCCAGTCCTCAACGAAGTGGCTGGGTACACACCACCAAACCAACAGACAACATGCTGGGATCAAATTCATGACACGAGACACCAGTTTTTTTTTTTTTTTTTGATCTGAATCAAACTTGTATATATTTTACGGTGACGACTTACAAGTTGTCAGGTGCGCCATCCTGGAGGGAGAGAAGCGCCCTGATGCCACCGCAGCAGCTGTGGCCAATGACCACGAGGACCTCCACCTTGAGGGCGCACACGGCGTACTCAATGGCAGACCCGATGCCGCTGTACTTGGTCTGCAGTTGGCGAAGACGAAAGGCAACCATGTTAGTCGTCCGTCAACGGCCCGCCCGGGCTAGAAAAAATAGACGTCCATTGCGACGGTCAGTGTGTACGCGTACCTTGTCGTAGGCTGGGACCATGGCGGCGATGTTGCGGACGGTGAAGGCCTCACCGGGCTGTAGGCCCAGGGTCACCGACGGGCACACCCGGGAGTCAGCGCAGGCGAACACCATGTACTGCATGCAGCAGAGGAAAAATCACCATCAGAGGTCGGCGAAAAGAGGGAGCCCGCAAAAATCAGTCCAGTTCCCACGGCTCTTATCGATAAGCAGGTAGGCAGATCGGCCTGATCAGTGGAGTACTACACACGATTCTGGCTGTGGTGGATTTGCAAGCTGGCACCCAGAACCAAAAGGCGGCAACTTTTGAGTTTTGACCCGCCTGTCTTTGTTCCAGTGCTCTTTTTACAGGGGCAGGATGGAGAAAATCCAGGCTGCAGGAAGGTTCCTTCCGGGCTACTAGTACTAGTTGCGACGAGGATATTCTACGCTGGTTTCCGTGTGCTGGCGGGGCAGATAAAAGTAGTCAAGGAACAACACGCGGATCCATCCTATTCCCGGCGGCCAAGCAAGAATATTTCCGGCCAAGTTGGCACGCAAAAGGGAGGCTGCATATATGCATAAGTGAATGAACCGATAACGAATTTCATGTAACGGGTTTACGTGGCCCTGGGATGTGGGTGTCCAAATCAGCACGGCAAAGTAAGCTTGACGGCAAGAGCAGCATCCATCAGCCATCAGGACTTCTGGGCATGAGCATTGGAGGCTAATAATTTTAGTGGTTTCAGTACAAATAAAGTAGCCCCATAGACGATTGAAACTACTATTCACATAATACAAACTATCACTACTTGTGATGTCAAAAGTGCCTTTTTTCTTTCATATATGTCCTTTTATTTTATCCCCTCTTCTTTTCTTGTATGGACCAACTTCTCTCCTAAGCATATGTAGCTTCTGCAGGTAACTATGACAAACACCTACTTTTTGTACAACATGACATCCGATCCTATATGGATTTTGGGGCTACTTCTAAAGCCACTGTGGGCCTATTCGTTTGTCTGAATTTTGGAGGAATCTGGATGGTTTGGAGGAATTTTGGGTGAGAGAAAAATCCCTCAAGAGGCAGCATTGGGGAAGCCCTTGGGAGGCAGGACGCTGGAACATTTGTTCTGGCTTGGATTAGCTCACACTTGGGATGCCATGATTTGGAAAGGGGCCTGGGGATACAAAGGCGATTAGGACCCGTGGCGTAATGCAATCATCTTCCACTTTTTTTTTGTATACTTTGAGACATCTGTAGTGTAATAAAGCATATTTTCTCGAGGATCGGCATGGCCAGTGAGGTATGGATGCGAATACACAGTGTTCTCAATGCTAAAGCAACAGCCAATAGGCCCTCCTGCCCAACAACTATGCGCCTAACTTTTGCAAGGTGTGGGAGAGGAGAGGAGAGAGAGAGACACGTCCAAACCAACTACTTCCCTACTATACTGACGATGAAGAAAGAATCCCGTGAGGTGAATGGTGGGCCTGTGCTCAATCATGGCTGGACCACACATTAGCCATGGAATGATGAATGCTAATACACACCTGTTCTTATCTAGTACATGGCTCCCCTTGCATTCTCTCTGTTCTATCATAAGGTAAGCCAAGGAGACTTGGGGTTCACGTCTCTTTGTGTTATGTATGGTATGTGAGTGTCAAACAAAAATCAAAATCATGAGACATCTGAAATGGCTGGTCACCACCATCTGTTGCTGGCGTTCAAATGTAATGATGGAAGTGACCATTATAGTTCAAAAAAGAATTCAACACGGCTAGCAGGTGGAAGTGACCATTATACTTCAAATGTACAGAGTAGTTCTTTGTTTTCCACAGACCGAGTAGGCCAAATTAGACTGCTTTTATCTTCTCCTTTTACTACAAAGAATATTTGACTACTACTGTAGTAAATTTTATGGGTAGGAAAACTAGTAGAATCAGCTAGCTACTACACCACGCAAAAGCATGCATGAAGTAATTACTAATTAGGAGCATGGGATCGATGCCAGCTCAAGACTCCCATAAATTAAAACAATAAACTCTGCACTTGCAAGATTCTGGCACCAGGTTATACTAGTTAACTGAAGGAAAATCAATATACTAACATAACTATATCCGTCATCTGCAAAGTGCGCCTATATAGGGACGGCGACATCTCAATATTTTACCAACCAAATGCAAATCACCACCAGCAGCACATGGGTGAGCACTCGCGGAGCGCATGTTAGTGCGCGCCACAGTGGTGGCCGGTGGGAGCTGTGAAGGATTTTGCTTTGCATGCGTCTATATGTATCCCACTACAACACTTCTTTGCGCTATGACATGACTACTAGTAGTGCCAAAGTTGAAGCTTGTGCCCTATGGATGGGGCAGACTTGTACAAAACAATTATAGGACTAGTTATGTATGTATATCCAGCAGACTACTTGCCCATTGGCCGCTAATATAATGGCGACAAGCTATCACCATCAGTTTTAAGCCGTGCAATTAGGACAATCCGTTTCCTTTTGTCTACTGCAACTTTGACCTCGTTACCGGCGCAAAGGCTGCGTGCGCACCCAGGGACACAGGGTGGACGATGAATAGTGCAGCAGGGTTATTGCAGCTGGGAATGCAATGCAGGGATGCTGATGAGCTACAGAGCCTAGTACTAGCAGCGATACAATTCTCTGAGCAGAGCTTGCCTCAATCTGGACAGCTGGGCAACCAGGCAGCAAGTGCTACTACCAAATCTGTGGGCCAGTCGGGCGTTGCCCAGAGACCAGAGTCCCACGGAAAATCCAAAATTACAGAACGCGGTTTCGCCTTAACCATCCAGGATCTGTGCTGAGGATCACGGGAGCACCAGCACCTACGAGTACGGCAGAATAACCGGCCAACCGACCGGCCGGAGTCGCTAGAGACGAAAAACTTAGCGGCGTACAAGGGAGAGCTGAGAAGAGAAGGCAGTATGGTAGTAGCGCATACCTTGGGGGACTGGCCGGCCTTGAGAGGCTCGAACAGCTCCGGCTTCTTGCTGCGAAAAAAAATAAATCAACGGGGTCTCTCAGAATTCCCGAAAAAAAGCAAGCACCATAGGGTTGGAAGATGAAACGATTAAACCAAACGCGCGGCTGCAGAAGAAAGCGACAGCTCTGAGTAGAGACATGACTTACTCATAGACCTCGGTCTTGAACTTGTTGAACCCGCTCTTCAAGCGCTCGACGGCGTCCGCCATGTCCTGCAGGACGAATAGCCATAAAATCGTCGGTCAGTTCGCCATCCCTAGAAAGACCAACTTGCATACTCTTGATCGTGATGCAGCATGAGGGGGTACAGAGAGAGAGAGAGAGAAGGGGGGCATTGATGCAATTTTTGGCCTCGCCCACGGACCACAAGAAAAGCATGCACAAAGGTGATCTAAAAGGGGGAACAGGGATCTTCTTTGCACCAGCATAGTACAACACAACACAAGGAGAAAGTAGAAGCTACAGGCTACTGATGGCAACAACAGAGGAAAAGAAAACGGAGGGATTGACGGAGAGATTACTGTGTGTGCTGTGAGGAGAATGGTGCTGAGCATGAGGGACGAGGAGGAGGAGGAGGAGGGCAGGGGACCGACCTTGGAGGGTGGGTGGCCTTCTGGTTCTCAAGGAGTGATGACTGACGAGGCGGAGGAATCTATGGACGGCTTCCGTGCCCCCGCCTCCTTTTTATAACAGGGGAGGGAGGCAAAGTCAGCTGCTCATCTTCTCCTCTTTTCTTCCACTCCTCTCTTATCTCCGGACGGATGGATGCGATGCGGCCCTCCCTCCCTTTCTCTCTCTCTCGTCTCGTTCGACTTTTGAGCTGCCCCGCCCGCTGTCCAGTTTACTAGCAACAGGACACGTGCAATTGTTTCAGCGAGAGAAAGAGACGCCCAGTAACGGCTGAGCGCGGCTTCTGTGGACAAAATTAAACGCCTGAGCGGATTGCCGATGGCTACTTCTACTTGAGCGCGCGTTGTGGAGAAATAACGACTCCAAAATGACGTTTGGGACCACTGATTCAGCGAAACCACGGTGGCCATGGGAACGCAGTGGCGTCGTTGTGGTAGATGGACCTCGATGGCCATGGCCTCGTCGTATCCAGCATCACAGACGAGCAGATGGCAACGGGGAAGGGAACGCCTCCCCATCCCCGCCCTCGTCCCCATGAGTCGATTCGCAGCCAAAGAAATCAAAATACGGGGGAGCAGGACTACGGGAGGAGCAGCGGAGCACCTTCTGTAGAGGATCGGCTGGCCAACGATGTGGATCCGCCGAGCTCCTGCATCTACTGGCGGCGAACCCTGCTCCTGCATCTGCTGGTGGCGAACCCTGTTCTGCCCTTGCGCTTTCTTGGGTGGGAATCGGAGGAGGAGCGATTGGGGGCTTGGCCGCTTGGGGCGTCGGGAGGCGGGCGCCAGTGGCGGAGCCACCCTAGCGGCGACATGGGGCAGCCGCCCCAGCTACGGTGGCGAACTGACGGAGGAAACACGGTGGGGATGGGGTGCTAGCTGCTGGGACGCCGGGCGGAGGACTGTTCGCGGCGCGTCCGCGCGTGGTGACTGGTGAGACGTGAGAGACGCCGAGGGTCCGAGACGGGTCGAAGTGGGCGTCGGTCAGGGTGGGCGGGTGGCCCGGTGTGAAGTCCTACACATGGATGGATTAAATTATAAGTTATTTTAACTTTCTTAATAATCAATGTATTTCAAATGTAACTAAATTTATATAATAAAGTAACAACATTTATAATACTAAATAACTATCATTAGATTTTTCATTACTTATACTTTTATAGTATACCGATTTTTATGATTAGATTCTACGGTGGCTGTAGAGCAACCTGAGGTTGGTACTCATGGAGCAGTGGCCGCACCGCCGGGTCCTGCTCGCCCTGATCCACTGCCACTGCTGCAGCGCCAGCAGCCTGCAGTGGCCCCGCCGCCTGCGCTCGTCACGACACCGGATCTAACTCTGCTTCCCTCTCTTGCTCTGGCTCCTCCGGCCCCGGCTTATGCACAGGTCAGATTGGGCGACCGTTCTGTGCCCACCATCCTATCACGCAAGCGCCGGGCAGTAGCGATGCAGCATGCCGTGCTGCTGGCCAAGAGTGCGGTCGCGGGGCTCTGCCTTGCCATGCTTGTCGTGGTCGCTGCCGACACCCGCAGGAGCTGGACCCGTGACTCCTATAACAACTGCACACAGTTCCGGTACATGCAGTGGCGAAGCTACATAGTCGCTTGTGGGTGCGGATGCACCCTCCTCCCCAACCAAAAAAAAAAAATGAAAAATCACTACTTGGGTTAAATTTTCACCATAGTTGTATCTTAAATTTTCACATATATCAGGGAAGCGCACCCCTCTAATTTGTTCTAGGTTCACTGCTGGGTACGCGCTAAGAAAAACCCCCTTGATTCCTTTTACTCACATGATACGGTACTAGGAGGCCGTGAATGTGATCAGCTTCCTGTACTCTGTGTTCTAGTTCGTCGCGCTCGCGCTTGCCCAGCTAATGAGGAATGTCAGTTAAAACAATTAGGTATTTAGCTGTACTATAGGAGATTTCTGTGCCAAATATCCATGTCATTTTCATTCTACAATTGTTTCAGTCGTCTGTGATCCAGTTTGATTATTTTCCTTTCCATTGTCCTGAATATTCATAGGATTTGATAAGCCGGTGCTGATATACAACCCAATTAGAGAGGCCAAATGTACTAAGAAAAGCTCAAGATCCTTATCTCATACGCAAATAAGTAGCCATTGCGTAGGAAAAGATTTTGCCGAGGGTAGCTGCTCACTTAATGAGATTATGTATAGGGATGGATAATCTCGCAAAGGAGAAAAGTGTTCCTGTCACGCATCTTCTCTCGCCAGGCGAAGGGCTGATGGGAGAAGGGCTGGACGGCTTCAGGCAGCTAGGATGCCGACTGCTGCTGGCCTAGGACAGGAGGCGGCTAGGTGTCGGCAGGTCTGCTGCAGGCGGCGACGGTGGAGGCGTGTGAAAGGTCCTAATGGCTAGAGGGGGGGTTGAATAGCCTATAAAAATTTCTACAACAACACTTAAGCCAAGAGGTTAGACAATTATGAAGCGAAGCGAGTGTTGCATTAGCCTACTCAAAATGCAAACCTCCTACCCATAATTCTAGTTGCTATGATCTCTAATTCACACAAAGAGGCTAAGTCACTACCACTAAGTTAGTGAGCTCTCAAAGGCTAACTAAAGAGCCTCACTAATCAAACTAGACAAGACACAAGCTAGCTCTCAAAACTAGTTACACTAAAGAGCTTATCTACACTAGGTAAGTAAATGCACAAGAGAGGTAGTGAGTTATATCGCCGTGGCATTTGATGATCAATCAATCACAATGAATACCAATGAAATCCTCGCTTGCTTGCCAGCAAGCTAGTCACTCACTTGGAGGTTCACGTGCTTATAGGCATCACACGCCTAACCCGCAATCGGGTGCCGTATAACCAACACAAGATGATGATCCACAAGCCACGACCAATCCACTAGCGTACCTTTTAGCTCTCCGCCGGGGAAAGGTCAAGAACCTCACATAATCACCACGATCGGAGCTGGAGACAATCACCTTCCTCCGCTCGATGATCCTCGCTGCACCAAACCGTCTAGATGGCGGCAACCACCAAGAGAAACAAGCGAATCCCACAGTGAAACACAATCACCAAGTGCCTCTAGATACAATCAGTTAAGCAATGCACTTGGATTCACTCCCAATCTCACAAAGATGATGAATCAATGATGAAGATGAGTGGGAGGGCTTTGGCTTAGCTCACTAGGTTGCTATTGTAACAACCCGGGTTTTTGGAGAAGCCAAAAATACGAACTTTTTAAAATTTTTCCTGCAATGTGTGAAGCATGTAGATGCTAGGTCAAACAAACATACATATAGTGTTGCTTGTAGGAGCTTGCCAGAGTTCCTTATTTGGTTTAGGGTTTTGTGTTGGAGAGCACAAGTCCGTAGCGAATCCTTTTGACTCCTTCTGGAATCTCTCATGAACCCCTTGACCTAAATTCTATAATCAACCAACTATCTTTATCAACTCAATACCCGTGAATTGCCAACCCTTGACATGGACCCCACTACCCCTAGTTGACCTCAGTGGACCCCGCTAGGAGGTGTACAAGTTGGCGACACATGTATTCAATATAGGAGCCTTGGTTTATTTAGAAAATAGGAAAGCCAATCTGGCCCAAGCACATGACCAGCCAGCCCAAGCTGCGCGACCGGCCCAACCCTCCTCCTGGCCTTGCACGTGCCTTCGGCCTAGACGGAGCACAGCAACCTGCTCGGCCTGCCTCCCCAAGCTGGCCCAGCTCGCGCGCCATCCTCTTCTCCTGGCCGCATGGCCCAACTGTCAACCGCCCGGCCCAGCATGGCCATAAGCTCAGTAGCGCTCGCAGGCCTCCCACGCAGCCGGCCTAGCATCGCCGCTCGCACACGCACAAGCCTCTGACAAGCCGGACCCGCCCGTCAGCCATCACGCACCGCACGCCGCCGCATCAGGATAAGCTGACAAACCAGACCCCACGCGTCGGCCACCCCAGCAACAGGATCATCTTCCTCCCCACACCAACCTCTTCCGCGACCGGGAGCCGACCACGGAGCAGACGCGGGCCCAGGGTCACGCACATCGCATGACCCTAATCCCTCTTGCGCCGCGCCTACGCTACCACACGCGGGCCATTGGATGCGCCGCACGCATCACCACCGCTCGATCACCATCCGCCATTAGAGCCCTTGGAGCTCGGCTATAAAAGCCAATGGCCGTGAGCCCTAACCCTCAGCCCGATAGCCGTCGCCGCTGGTGGCACAGCACCACACCGCATCAAGCCAATAGGGAGGGAGGAAGAAGCAATGAGGAGAAGGAAGCCGCTACGGAACTGGACCTTGCCGGAGCCAGGAGCGCCGCCCCAATCGGCTACAGCGATGTAGCTGCTCGGCACGGCACTGCATCGCCTCATCACGGCCTCGCCTCGCCATCACACCGCCATCCTACCGCCATGAGCCCTATGGTGAGCCACATCGTTCGCCGCTCACCACGCTAGCCGTACTCGCCATGGACGCCACCGCGTTCCCGCACCTGGGGAACGTAGAAGCGGAGCATTCCCGCTCCTGGACCCGCTGCACATGCACCACACGCGCACCAGCCCAAGGCCTGGCCTCACCGACCCCTAGCAGCTCGGGAACACCGGCACGACCACTCCTAGCCTCTTGGACGCCATGAACGGACCATGTCGGAGCACGAGCTCTTGCTCTGGCTTAGCCAACCAGTAGCATAGAAGGACCAACACGACCCTCTTATTGAGCCAAACGGAAACGCGAAGCAAAGGGAAGAAAGGGGGCAACGCCGAGCCTTCTGCTCGGGGACGCCAGCGCCGAGCGCTCTACGTCATAGTAAAGGCGATGTTGACACCCTGACTGGCTCCGCCATGATGAGAGACACACCGCGCTCACCTTAGCCTAGGATGAAGCTCACCGGAGCCCTGCGTTGCCACACCGCATCTCGTCGGAGCGCCACCGCCTCTGCTTTGCCCCCCACCGTGGCCGGAGCCACTGGGAGCACCAGGAGCTCCTTCAACACGCCTACCATGGTCGTAGAAGCACCGTGAAGCTCACACACTCCTCCAACTGGGCTCTCGCTGCCACTGCAGCCCTATCTAGGCATGCCGATGAACCCACGCTGCCGTTCACCGCGGCCAGCCAACTGGAGCCGTCCGACCACCACGTTAACTTCACCGGGACACCCGCTATGGCATGGCCAAGCTTTTGCCCACATTAATTGCACACCCGCGCCGCTGGAGGGGCTCGCCGGTGAGCTCACCACTAGCGGGAGCATGATGGGGAAAGAGGATTGGGATTTTTCCTCGCCGGCCACACGTCCAAGCACTTGGTGCACGTGAACCGAACCCTAGGAATGAGTAAGTGGACCAAGTCCTTCATAGACCGGCTCTGCGGTCTATGGACCAACACAGGCAGGTTCACCATGAACCGCGCCTCACCTATCAGTCACCATTTGACCCCGGACCCACATGCCAGTGACCAGTGCCGAGGGCCCACCTATCAGCCGCGATTTAGCTCTGACGACGCCATGCTGACGTCATGCCGAAGAAGAGACCGCGCTAGCGTCGGGGACTTCGGCGACCACT